TATCTATCTATCTATCTATCTATCTATCTATCTATCTATCTATCTATCTATCTATTATGCCAATTTGCAGTTATTACTATTAGTTGTCTGCTTGCTCCTCATTCCTCTTAACTTGTTGATTTTGTGAGAACGTCCATTGAACGAATAAAATGTTGTGCTGTTGGTATGTACCAGAATGAACGATGGAGAAATAGACAGATAGATAGATAGATAGATAGATAGATAGATAGATAGAGAGAGAGAGAGAGAGAGAGAGAGAGAGAGAGAGAGAAGTGAGGGGCACATAGATTGATAAACAAATGCAAAGGGGAGTAAAAGCCAAGAAGAAAAGAAATATAATACTATACATATAATATAAATAAATCAGTTATAACGTTTTACTACACTCACCACTTGGACACAGAAGGAGAAAGAATGCAATGCTCACAATAACCTTGTTTCCTTTCCTCATTGTGTCTTCATCTAAGCTCTTTCTTGTGGGTGCTGGTAGTTAATACGCCTATGCATTCAAGACAAATTTTATACGCCTTAATCCGACGCTGAACTCATAACAATTGAAATGTAGCACACTCATAACCGTAATTGAACGATGCAAACTGCCATCAGTGAGGAAAGTTCAGAACAACAAAATCTCAGTCTTCTAAGGCCACCTTTTCACCAAACTGAAATACAGAAAAAGAACGAACAAAACAAGGTTATTTTGTGCTATTTTAAAAAAATCCAATTACTATACAATAGAGACAAGTGGAGAGTTATTCTCTAGCGGTGCCCTAAGACGTGAAGTGTTGCCAACTCCGCAATACTACAGAAGAAGATGTACGGGTAAAAAAGGAACTTAACTGGTTTGTCCAGGATATTATGATAGACACCCGTTTTCAAGTGTGACGTAATCGAGAAGAAGAAAAGAAGAACTGAGGACGATTGACAAGGCGTGAAAGGGCGGGAACGATGAATCAGGATGATCCGGGAACAAGCAAACTTTAAGAAGAAATCAGCAACAACTTGATTTCCGAGAGCATTAGTCTTTATTATGCGTTTCATCCGAGACAGGGATTATGCAATTATATGTTCTCACTTGTATGAGATTTACACATCTTGCTCAGCGCATCTTTCTAACTGGATTCTTACCAACAAACGCTGTTCATAAATTTTCATTGGAAGTACCTTACCTCTGACAAAGAAATCGTTAGATATTAAAATTTCTGCACGTTCTCGTGAGTTCAAATATTATCCACAAAACATTATTTTAGCTTCACAACTCTAATTCAAAAACCCGAATACTCGTGTTGACAGATTACGACAAGTGATCAGAACCTTTTGGGAAAGCAGGCACAGTCCTCATCGAACCGCATTTTCAAAGTTCAACGGAGAAAATCGTCTTATTGCTACTTTATCCCTGCTCTTTTCTCAATAAATGAAGTAGAAATAAATGTATGCTGTCTTGTAAGGACAGCTATACTTACCGGCTCATCTGTTTGGCCTCTCGTGTGTTCATCTGAATTGTAGGACAGACACAATCGGCGGAAATAATTGGGACCTTGGGACCGTCCAAGGACTCGCAATTTAAAATACGCACCCACAGATCAATGAAGATTTTCTGTCGTTGTGGACGAGTACGAATACAGAATATCAATCACTCTAAATGTACATGTACAAGCTTTCAGTATAATACCGTGGACAAGTAGTCTAAACTGGAAATAATGAGAATTTGGAGAAGAAGGAATAAAGGGAATAAATATAGCAGCTTATGCTTAATAAAGAAAAACCAAGGATAGTTCAGTCTGATATAGTTTCACTCGATAATTTTTAGACTCAAAAGTAGAATGAGCTACAGATATGATGTTTACCAAGTAGGGAATGAGGAGAGAGAGAGAGAGAGAGAGAGAGAGAGAGAGAGAGAGAGAGAGAGAGAAAGAGAGGGAGAGAGAGACAGAGAGAGGAGGGGGAGAGAAAGAGAGAGAGAGACACACAGAGACAGAGAGAGAGAGAGGGGGGAGAGACAGAG